AAATCACCAGGCTGAATCCAGGAAAACCAAAGGCTGTAATTAGACAGAGCCATTACAGCCTCTCTTTGAATGCTGTGTGTGTGTCATACGAGATTCTGGTGTGTGTGTGTGTGTGTGAGAGGATGTGAGTCAGTGCATGTCCACAGATAGAAGATGAGAAGCGCTCAATGAGATTTGATAGGTGGGTGATTAAAGTTAGAAAAGTGTGCGCCTCACCTATATGCCACCTACAGGCACCTGTCTGTCTCTGGTAACCTTATACATGCAGACACAGACATGGGCTGGACGTCACCCGGAGAGGAATGACGCTGAGAGACGATCCATCAGACTATTTCGCTAAAGGACAGAGGGAGGACGTGACTGGGACACACACACACACGTGGGAATGAGATAACGCATGGCTGGCTTTCATCAAGAAGAGTTGATTCAGGCCAACCCACTGGATAAAGTAATCAGAATTGGTACTTGACGGTCCTTTTCTTTGAGATGTGGTGACGGACAAAAGGCTGAGAGATGTTCTGTAATCTCATGACAGTGAGTTACTGTAGTACAGTCACATAATCAGTCTGTAGGCTTACATAACTGTGACACTGGAGCCTCTGGTCAGCGCTGGGTACCCGTTTCACTCTGGACTTTTAACCACGTTTTCCAGAGCAGTGTGCTCGGCAGCAGTTCTGCTTCACTGTGGATGCTGTTTTAATAAGTGCTACGTTATGATATGAAGCTTCGTGTTGCCACCGTATAGACTACCTTGTGTTTACTGATTCAACTTGGTTTGAATGTTTAGGATCAATCTGTGGGATTTTAAACATCTGAATATAATAACTTCCATATAATGTGACCGTTTTACTGAAATTCATTTGAAAGGTTTTGAAGGAAAATCCTTCTTTGTGGCACCAATAATAACTCAGATTAAAGGATTCCTCTGGACTGTGTGACCAGACAAGCTGTTGTGAACATATTTATTAATATTTTATGAGCTTATCGTGTTTGAACCATTAAAAAAACATTCAGATATTTGTTGAAAGCTGTGTAAGATGAAGAAACGTCACCGCTGATATAGATCTATAACACAAAGATCCAACATGAACCCACATTTTGGCACCAACAGCAGTTTTCAGAAAGAAGACGGTTTTGTGTCAGCAGTCAAAACATGTGTAAAGTTAGATCCTAATGGATCAGATCGACATCAGCACTGATCTTACATCCCACAGATTGTTTGGTTGCATGTGAACGTGGTTTCAGTGAGACTCACCAGATGTAAATTGTGGCTAACAGCTTGACATTGACTGATTTTAGTTTTGTAAGTAAATAATTCTTTGTGCAATATTCATCCAAACCTATTTCTACCCCCTGACAGTGTGTTGATACATTAAATTGGGACCCATGGAAACATAAACTAAGTACTTCCACGTATTAAAACTGCACCGGAGGATTTAAGTGCTTTTGACTGGGGGCCCACATGACCCCAGTACATTATTAGTTTTAACTCGAGGGCCCTCAGTGCCCATAATTGCAGTGAGGCCTCGTAAAGCTTCTGCTTCCATTCATGGCAGTTTGTTCAAAAGACATAAAACTCTTAAAGTACATCACTGACCAGAAAGATGGAAGCAGCAAATGAAGCTGAAAAGAAAATTAAAGTGAGTTTTTCCCCCAAAAAACAAAAGCAAAGCACGTCTGATATTTGAATAAATATTCCAAATACTGATGCACACAGAGGCGGCGTACCTGTTCTCCCCAGTCACAGGTAAAACGATTCTTCCTACTTACTACTGAGCAACGTATGAAATGTGTGTCTACTGAAAATAACTGCAATCCTTCGGCATGTGATTTTGCACCAACACAACCAGACAGGATGCATCTCCTTATTATCAGTATTCAGTAAAACAACGTGCTGCTTCAGTTCAGTGATCCCTGTGTGACATATGAGCATCAACGCTGGAGTTACAGAACATGTAAAGATTTAAATCAACATATTTGTTAGCATCTTCCTCTGAGCTGCTTTTGCATTAATGATTGGATATATTTGTTTCCTCACTAATGAACTTTAGTTGAAAAAAAAAAGTGCTTTTCATACGAGCTTTGCTGTTTAAACCTATTTTAAATGTCAAGTACAGTAACAGCTACAGATTTGAAACTACCTTGTTCTCCCCTACACACAAACCCACATCACCTACTCTACACCCACTCACACTTGTGCAGCGCTCGCTTTGTGTTCTTTACAAGTTCAGCACAGACACACATTCACACACACTCAGCTCCTGATGCAGCAAGGGGACATTTATAACCTCTGCTTTTTTTTGTTTTTGGTTTTGGAAAAGGACATTTCATTTCAGCTGAGCGGTGCAGTCCAAATAAATAAAGGTTATATATATTTTTAAAAAAAAGCCAATCTAATCACAACACCAGCAGCACTCTGCTCAAACACCAGCGACCTCGTCTCCTTAAAGAGAAACAGGAGGATGGGCGCTGAGACTCTGACATTTTGTCTCATAGGAGAAAATGAATATATAGTAACTACTGAGCTTGTTTGTTCCACTGAGACCAGCAGTGCAGTGGTTTGGCTCCAATACTTGCTATCACACTGCGTTTTAGCTCATTGAGACCCAGGAGAGTTCAGCCAGAAGCACTTACTGATACCTTTACTGCATGTCCTCCTCTGCCCTCCTGCCTCTCACCTCAGCAGAGCAGCAGGGATCCAAACATTATCCACTGATGCATGTTGCTTTTTAATTTGCCTCCATCACAATGCTCCTTAACGTTTTCTCTTACCTTTAGCGTCAGTGTTCTTTTGTTACGTGTGCTTTGTAGTTTTGCACGTTTCAGTCTCGACACCTGCCACCAGCGACGAGCTGTGTGATTAACTCTGTGGGACAAGCGAGGACAGCGATCGTGTTGCACCGAAACAGAGCAAAGCGGCCGCTAGCCACCTGGCAAGCTGTACGCAAGCCAGCGATGCGTCACTTCAAACCCAGACAGCACCAAGACGGAAAACCAGCCCCTTCTCTTACTCTGTTCTAAATAGATCTTGTGTGTTGCACATGAAGCCTTGTATAATCAGAATTTTAGGTATTTTCTTTTGGTGAGAATCAAGACTTTTTATTAACAGGTCCATAGATGTTATGTGCCAGGAGACGCCTCATGAGCAAAATAAGCAGCTAACACCATCGCCGATGAGCATTTCTACCCTAAATGACAGCAACAAACGACCACGGCGTATGTACCAATCAGGAAACAATCCCTGTCACGTCGCAGTTTGAGGCTCTCTGTATCATTAATCTTCTTCAGAATCAGTTTTCGGTCCAAACTTGTACGCCGAAGCAGTCCAGTATTGTGTAGCATAGGGCAACTCTGAGCTTGAGACGTGAGGAAAAAACGTTTAAACGTGTAACTTTGAGGCACGGAGACGAGGTTTTACTGGTTAAACTTAAGACAGGAGAGGGACTCCTAAATGAAAGTATGCACACTGTGGTTGGGGTTTGAATAGAATCAAATCCATTTAAATCAGCTTTCCACATTGGAAAGTCAGAACTTTCTAACACTTTAAGATCCATTATCAGCTTTTGTTGGTTGAGAAAGCAAAGAAAACAGACGGGTTTATCTGTATACGACATGACTGAAAGTAACTGACAACGACCGGCCAGGTGAGGCGACGTCGTCTCGCTATACAACCCACCTGTACTCTCATTTACATTAGACACATTTTTCCTCCTAGATCTGAGACTGTGACCCTTATAGTTTGTAGGATTCCCAAAGTCTGCATAAGAAGGATGGCGGCATGAGTCAGCAATAAGATTTTCACCCAGGAGACGTTCTGTGAGGGTCCATTAGTCTTATACATAAGATTTATTACTCCAGAATGCAGCTTAAGTTTTATAAGAATGCCAGTTTAGGGAGACGAGGTGGAGTGAGCCCTTCTCTGCTTTCATACTTTCACACACTGCTTCTCTCAAACACAGGTCGCTTTTCTGCACAGCTACGACGTTTAGAAAGGTTCAAATATCTATACATAGTCAAACCCGAAACGTTAATCGAGGAGATTCTTTTCGAACTCAGTGATGTGAGATCATTGGAGATCTGTGACCTATGAAACCTCACGGAGCTTCTGAGAAGTTCTGCCCGAGCAGACACGGGTTTCATTTTACCTCTGAAGAAATTAATAGTGATTTAACCCAGAAATAGAATCTGCCATTGGTGATATTTGTGATTTAAACTGGCAAAAGCAATCTTATAAAGAAGCGAGATTAGAAGTTCAAAGTACCTGGCTCCTACAACCCTCACCGTAGAGTCACACATGATAACATCCTCATAACCACACGTTATCCGTAAAGCTGGATTCAGTTTCTCTAATCGAACAGCTTTCATTTGACCTTTATTATCCAATCAGGTCCCAGCGTTCACGTTGGTCCGTGTAACTCTGAGGTATGAGTACATCTCTGCTCCTACACGTTCACATGGATTCACTCAGCGATACAGCATCAAAGACGGACCAAAACTTTAAATGGCCTCCCGCGAGCAGAACTTTGAAACACCGTGAGGGGGAGATAGGCCTCTTTCCAACACTTTTTTAAACACGGCCTCCCTTTGTTCTTTAGCAGTGACTAAAAAGATGGGCTCCGATCCAATACTTTCCCATTAGCTCGATCCAGAGTTGAATGAGAGGAGCAGAACCCCTCCCATCTATCTTATGCTCAGTTCACAATCTCCTCCTGGTTTTCCTTTAACTCCACTGCAGCCACAAGCAGCTGCTGCATATATGAGATTTACATACTGCACCAGCGGATATATTACAAACAGAAAGGGGAGGGGAGGTGCAATAATGTATGCGTACAGGAATTTAAATAAAGAAGTGAAACACCCAGAAGGAAAACAGACGGCAAATTATGGAGAAGAAGAAAAATAATTCAGTTTTCACAACATGAACATTTGCCTCGCTCGCTGGATCGCATTTATTGACATAAATTAATCTTAATGACCAGTATGTAAAAGTCCTCTCCTACCTTCATGACGATGAAGAGGACCAGCGTGACGAAGACATTGAGCTGCGGATGTTTCCAGGCCTGGGAGTGTCCGATGTAGTCGAAGTCCTCGGCGATGCCCTGCTTGGCCCACGTCCTGTTGTCCAGTAACGTCACCAGAGACTCCTTCTGGGTCAGCTGGAACCACAGGGGGCGACATCATCAGCACAGGCCGGCATGAGCGGCACACTGCAGCGTTTGGGAGCTCGTTCATTAATATGGGTTAGCAAACTGAGTCAGTGTCTCCATTCATTAAAAGCAATCTTGACCTCAAATATGAACGTCCAGAAACAGACTCCAACTTCCTACAAGTCTACAGGTTTGATTATCTTTTATCCAAAGCGACGTCCATCTGAGAGCAGATACAACACAAGCAAGGGTCTGGTCAGGAGAAAACCATCTAGATCAGAGATATAGAAGGAGTTCAGGTGTGACAGGACGCTGATGCCAGCAGCAGGCTGTAGGGAGGTAACAGGAATCATTCTGTTGTTGTTTGTTTTTCATCTGTCAAGTGCAAAAGTGTTCAATGAAGAGCTGCTCTTCAGTCTGTTCTTACAGACTGAGAGGGTGTCAGCAGGTTGAACAGTTTGGTAACTCGTTCCACCACAGAGGAGGAGAGTCCAGCTACTGGACCTGTTGTGGTGGTCGGATCAGGAGGCTCTGGTTGGTCGAGCGTAGTGAGCAGAGGGAGTGTAGACCTGAGGGAACTGTTCTCGTTGTAGTTTTGTGGGCAAGTGTCAGAGTTTTGAATTGGATGTGGGCAGCAACTGGAGGCCAATGAAGCGATCTGAACATCGGGGTGACGTGCTGTGTTTGAGAACCAGACGTGCTGCTGCGTTCTGGATCATCTGCAGAGGGTTGACCGTGGATGTGGGGAGGCCTGCCAGTAAGGAGCTGCAGGAGACATTATGAGAGTTGGACCAGGAGTTGTGCTGCATGTTCAGACAGGAAACGTCTGATCTTCCTGGTGTTATACAGGACAAATCAACACGACTCAGCAGCAGAGGACACATGAGCCTAGAAGGTTAGTTGGTCGTCAAACAGGACGCCAAAGGTTCTGGCAGATTTTGTGGGTTTGAACTTTAAACACTAAATGCAAAACCCTCAATCACATGTTCAGTCCTCAGAGCACACACGTGTTGAATCTGCTGCTTTATTGAGGATTCACTCAGTATATGACGTACGATGTTGAATCACTGGATAAAGACAACCGCTCAGAACAGCTCTGTATGGATCTGCAGTGTAGAGAACTGTTCTCTGCTACATCAGCACTCACCCCCTTGTGGAGACGATGGTGTTTGATTCATCTGACTGCATCATATTCGTCCACTTCTCTGTGGTTTTTGCACCACTGCACACTGAGATGAGCATTAATGTTTGTACTGAGGGGTTTATTCACTGAAGTCCTTCTATAACGTCCCTCCTGATCTTGTCCTGCACTGACGGTCTCAGTCATCTGAGGAGGTGTTGCTCTTCTGCTTGTCCTTTGCACTAAAGACATAATTCCTACATCCTGATGCCTTTCCTTCTGATCTAAATACTTCACTGTTGCTACTGAAGCCAGCGGAGCAGTCTCAGTGACTGAAGCTCCTGCCATATGAGCCCCAACGATAAACCTTCATCCTGACATCAAATCAGAACCAGCTGGACCTCCTGAGCATCTCTACAGAAGAGAACATGGCTGGATGTTAATTGCTTAATTGTACCATGCAGTGTGTGTTTGTCTACTCATTTATTCAGGTTTGTTTGTCTCTTCTCTGTGTTATTTTATTCAACACTCTCCAAATCTGATGAACTTCCATTTGCAAGTCATTAGAAAAAATATGTGCTGGTCTTTGTTTTTACATTGTGGTTGTTTTCCTGCTATCAGCACCGCTCTACAATCTGAAGGATTAAATCAGTATTTATTCTGAGCTATTCGACCATTTTACTTTAAAACATAACAATGATTCAATGCAATAAAGTCTAATTAGCTAATATACTGCAACTGGTTTTTCAGATGTTTTCAAGCTCGGTCATGACAACGGAGACAAATCTTTGGTAAAATATTGTGACACAACAGGCATTAAATTTGCCTAATTGGATGATTTCAAATTGATAAATGCTAACGTATATTCAGCTGGGTCCTCCAAACTGTTCATAGACGCTCATGTCCTCCTGATCCATTCAGCTCGTGGTTAACCTCTGCTCTTCTCTTTTACTTCGTGCCTTGTTGATATGCATTCAATCTGGTTGTTGTCAATCTTTCTTTTGACCTAAACCTGCACTAAAACCCTGTGTGTTTTGGTGCAGGATTCGAGCCGTGAAGCCAGAAGGCGATGGGCTGAAAGTGTATTAAAAGACGTCACTGGATGTTTGAGGTGTAGGAGAGCAGGCAGGAAGCATAAAACAAATTCATCTGCAGTGGGTTCCTGACTAGATGCAGACACTGGGGGGAGGCGATAATGTTGCCCGTGGCCACAGAAATGATGATTGAGGAGTGTACGAGCAAGACAGTGGGATCTGAGATACAGAAATTTGAGTGTGCACTCTGGAGAAGAGCTTTAGGAGGAGTGGGCCAGCGTGGGCAGATTTGAGCTTCAGAAGCCTGACTCACGCTCTCATTAAGAGCCAAGACCGAGCGGATGTGTGTGTGTGTGTGTGTGTGTGTGTGTGTGTGTGTGTGTGTGTGTGTGTGTGTGTGTGTGTGTGTGTGTGTGTGTGTGTGAAGCCCAAGGATGCACAGACTATTCCTTTTCTAATTCTGATAATTAGACAGATGAAGGGGGGAAACTGGAGAGAAGTCACACACATCCATTCCTACGAGTCGCCCTCAGGAGCAAAGCGACGTTCATCCAGACCTCCAGATGACACACAAACCCTAACCCATCTGAACCTGTGCTGCGAGTGTCTGAACACGATCACACGCCGGCATGAGCGGCAGTCGGGTTAACGATGCAACAGACAGACCACAGCAACCTGGTGCCACATGTGTATAAATCATGCTTCTAGCAGCGCATGAAGCTCAGTTTAATTACACCAAATGCAGACATGAGCATGAGTCGGATGAGCTCGTTCATCTGGTCTGGCTGCTGTGATGTGCAGTCATGTGGTTGAACAGAAGCATCAACATTTCCTCTCTGCAGTCCCAACCTTTTGTTTTGCTCATCGATATCAGTTACTCATTCTGTTTTCCAGACAGACAGCAGTGTGGACAAACTCTATCCACACATAGAAAGAAGGTCTGCATTTAACGGTGTTCACAAACGCACCGTTTAATCCACATATAAACAATTCAAACAAAAAATAATCACAACTTGAATAAATAAAAACGTGTACATTAAACCTGGAGCTCATGAATCTGATAAAAGTTCCTGTGGATGTAAATCTCCAAATATGTTTGTGACGCTCGGCTCAATGTATGCAGTGACTTCTTCTTTTTCTGGCTTTATTTAGGTGCTTGTAGCTCAGACACTTTCAGCACCATCCTGTAACTTCATAAAGGGAGAAGCACCTTTTCGGATCACACATTTTTTACAGAACACCTGCAGAATTTTCCAGCGTGATGCGGCTTTAACTGGAGTTTATACTAATAAGACCTGTTGCTCGCTAACTTCACAGCCTGATGGTGTCTTCTTCTGGTGATGTGCTGCACATAAAGGCATCATAGATTTGTAGATCAGACACCATGAATGAGTATTAAAGAGTCTCTGTTGTGTCCATCTACAGGCACGTCATTACATGTTGGGGGTCTGCTACAATCTATGTCTTTAAGGGCCCACTCCTGTAAAGCCCGCTCTGTGCTGACTGGTCCAACAAGGTTAAACTGGTTAGTATGGTCACTCAGAGCTGAGTACAGGTGGAGACATGTTGATCCAGTAGAAGCTGCTCCAGTGAGAGAATAAAGGCAGAAAGCTGCTCATTCTTCGTTTGAGGGTGTTTGAAACCATCCATCCATCATCTCTACACCTTCATCCTCACCAGGGTCATGGGGGGCGGAGTCTATCCCAGCTGACTCAGGGTGAAGGCAGGTTCACCTGGACAGGTAACCAGTCTATCACAGGGCTACACTTAGAGACAGACAACCAAGCACACTCACATTCACACCTACGGACAATTTACAATCACCAATTAACCTCAGCATGTTTCTGGACTGTGGGAGGAAGCCAGAGAACCCGGAGAGAACCCACGCTGCACGGGGAGAACATGGAGACTCCACGCAGGAAGATCCCGGGTGTCCTCACCGGGACGCCAACCGGCGACCTTCTAGCTGTGAGGCCACGGTGCTAACCACTGAGCCACCTGCAGCCCCGCTATGTGACCTGGACCCTGGACAGGTCAGAGGTGGTGTTTTGTGGTGGAAAAGAACTCCTTGCAGATTTCTTTACAAAACGCTTTAAGCTACTAAAAGAAAGGGAACACCAGCACACTGCATGATACGGGCGGCTTAAAACTCCACACAGAGATGTAGTTTTACTTATTTACATTTGCAGGACAATCTTATCAGATCTATAAACTCTGAGCTGGGTTCTGATGCCTTGACGTGTAAAGCTGTTGCTCATTAGTTCAGACACAGAACAGCACACATCCATCAGGCTTGTTTTTACTGTCACAGCACACGTTCGTCACCATTGTTGAGACGACTTTCTCTTCATAAATATTCTCCGGCTAATGTGACTAAACTTCCAGATGGTTTGAATGAATCAAAAAGCTGTTCGCTCACAGCTACAGCGATGATTTCTTCTCACACATACAGCATTACGAAAGGAAAACGCTGATGTGAATACGCAGCATATATGGATAAAGTTGGCACGTAATGGGCCATAAAGCCGCAGGCTCACTCCCACATCCACTGCTGCAGTGCAATGCTTATCGATCATATAAATAACTTCATACTGTGTGTCGACTGGGCGTGGGGAACCTACCTTTCCAGCCATGAACTGTCCAAATCCAGGAGGAAATGTGAGCGTGGAAATAAGCAAAGTGACCAGCGCTGGATACAGCAGACGCCTGAGAGAGAGAGAAGGAAAAATAAATGTAAGGTGGCAGACAGAAGAAGGAATAAAGAGAAGAAACAGACAAAAAAAATCAATGTCTGACAGTTAAATGAGCGACTTGGCAAAGACGCGTCTCCTCTGCTCGTTATACTGTAAAAGGCTGCACGCTCGTCAATACAACAGAACAACTAAATCATTCACGTTAACGCTGCTGCAGAGCGGCCAAACGAGTGATTCAACACGTCGTTAATCACAGAGTAGAGAGACGTCGGCTTAGTTGTAAAGTTAACTCTAATTCAAACATCTGGGGACATGTCGGGGCTGCACCGTGAGCTCTGGTACAACAAAACTACACAACCTGGATGATAGATCTGTGTGGGTGATCAGAATCTAAACTGAATGAACGTATCACAAACATACCACAACTATGCATGAAGCTGACTGGAATTACATCCTCCAGTCATCTCAACTGGTCACATCCCAGTTTGAACATCAAATATGGCAAATAATCCAAAGTGTAGAGGAATCATGACCTAATGACCTGATCATGCACCTAAACATGAACCGCTTTTCAGTCTAAGATTTGGTGGTTGATTCCAGAACCTGATAGGGAAACTAGAATTTCAGAAAACTGTAGCTCCTCATTTAAATCAGTCTTTGTGCTGCATGCACAGAACATCATCAGAACTTCAGCAGAGATCTCAGTGGAACCCACTCACTCTTCTGTGTGTTACTGTATGCATGGTGGCTCGCATGGTCGCTGGGTGCAGATTTGTGGGATCACTGTGTTTAATTATATCAATTAACAACAATTAAGGTCAAAAAATGCCAGTCACACCTTTAAAGTCTGGTTCTGTTTGACCAAAAGTCCAAATTATATTCAGTTTACATTTATAAGCTGAAATCAGACAATTATTTTTCTTTAGAAGTTACTAAAATGATTAATTATTAGGGATAGTTTCCTAGATTTTAACTAAAAGATGTTCACCAACAGCTATTTCATTCATGCTAGTTTCTGCATTTTGTGCTGCTACATTATTCCCCAAACACAGCTGGCCCTGGGCATAGGCAGTACAGGCTAATGCTAAGGGCGCCGACATCCACGGGGGGGCGCCACAAGCTTACCCGGCTAACTGACATGTATTCAGGCAAGTATTTATCAACAAGCGCCGATGCAGTTTCTCTACCTTTAGCAGCAAAGACGTTACATTAGCGTCTTAGCTGCGAACATCGAAGACTACGGTTGAGAAACTGCATCGGCGCTTGTGGTTAAATATTTGCCTGAATACACCTCAGTTAGCCGGGGAGTGTCGCTAAGACCCCCCCAAACATTTCTGATGAGAACCCTGTTAAGCTAATGGATCGTAGTTACTGTTGTCAGAGCAATGCTAACTTGCTAGGCCCTGCTCTGGCGTATTAGCTTAGCAGCTGCTCAATAGAAGGACGATGAAGGCCTTCCTATGTGTGTCTGCCATGAGAACATGTGCAGCCTCAGTGTCAGGGTGGATTTAAGTTGCTCTTTTTGCCGACTGATGCAGCAAAGAGAGTTAAAGGCCGGTCACAGATGCTCGACTCCACTCCCATCACGTCGGTGGCTTGAAATAGATGTAAAAAAATGTAAAAAGAAGCTGCCATGGAACCATCAAAGGGACTCTCGATGTAAACATTTGCTTAAATATTCAGTTTTTACACCACATTTACACAGCGGCATAATGTCTATGTATTAGTATAGAACTGAATTATTATTACCGATGCGTAACGGTGTGCTTTGTTAATTCTGTAATTACTTCAGCTTTGTTTGGACTGTTGGTGAGTTAAATACGTAGCAGCGCCTCATTACGTTTGTATGAAAACGTAGCTACAGCACTCTGAGAGACCGTCATGGTGTCAGAAGTTCGTCTCTGGACCGGACCTCTCTGCAGGTGTACTTACTTCTTCATGAGGAACCTGTTGATGGCCTTCTGTTTCCTGATGAACTGGACGATCAGTCGGTTCAGGTAGACGAACAAAGCGCCGCCGAAACCGCTGGCGATGCTGCAGAGACATCAGGAGGAGAGGTTTTTTCCCAACTTGGTACAAAAACACATTGTGCACAATCGAATTGAAAGTGGATAAATTAGATCAAGTGTAAGCACAGCATCGCATCGAGCGCACCACATTTCTCTCTTGAACCAATTCCCTCGTTGTCCCCAAAGTGTTTGGCCACAATAAAAACAATGTAAATGTAATGAGCCTCTAATGTGCTGGAGGCGGACGTCTCCAGAGGACGGGATCGGTGCAAATGTGATGCAGTGAAGTCGTATAAGGAATGGGGAAAGAGGTGTTGGGGAAGCAGAAAGAAAAAGAGATCACAAAACAAGTAGGAGGCACAGACTGTAGATAGAGAAGAAGAAGAAAAAACAGGAAACAAAGACATCCACTGAAGGGAGAAACATACAAAAAAATAAAGAGGGAATTACAGCTGAGAGACAGTAAGAGTCAGAAAGATAGAGCACACTGTCAGATGGGGATGTGTGGGGGAGTCAGAGACAAAGCACAGAAAGAGGTTTATATAAGCATGCATTTATAAGCTCAGTGGGAGTCCTCTTCATGGCACCGAGAGGCAAAGAAAGAGGAGCGAGGTGGGGAGAGAAAGAATAGACTCATGCAGCTATGCAGACAACCCAGTGCTTATGAATTTATCTTGCTGCATTATTAATTCCGTCAAATACCTTTGAATAAGTAATGAGGAGGATGATGAGGGAGTCTTTGCCCCCGTGGTGCAGCCGGAGAAAACACCGCACGGCTGCCTTTTTGTGTTCTTTATAAGTTGTACATCTATAATAAACTGTGTGGGACCGTTCGGGTGGTAGAATTTGGTCTAAGGATGGTACCGGTACCGCCTCAGACGGACCGATCCTTTGGAGGGAGGAGCTGCAGCTGGTTCAGTTAAGGATTCAATCACTGGCATCTCCAGGATATGACTTTGATTCATCAGTTGAAAACTATAAACCGTCACAATCGCTTGTTTTCTTCTCACAAACAGTCTAAACTCCAGATATGTTCTAGGATTCTGATGGATCAGAACGGGCCTTTGGGAATAACTACACACAACACAATGCAACAGGTCTGTCTCACCTTATATGATAGAAATCTGTGCATTTTCCGCTTATTGCAGAGACTGCATTTGATGAATAAAAATGTTTATGAGTTGAATAAATTAAAAAATAAACAAAAAGCGGTTTAAAAAAACATATCAGGTGCATATTTTTATACTTGTTTCGTCTGGTCTGGTTTCAACAGCTCAAGAAATTAAACAGATAATGTTCTGAGTTCTGTTGATTGATGGAGAAAAATAATCAGCAGTTGGTTGAGAAATTAAAACAAACGTACACGTATTCCATAATCAGTTAAATGTGTGCACTTAATGGCCATAAATAACAGTCAGGATGAAGGTACACGACAAAAATGACCAAAAAAAAAGATCAGTCAACTTCATACTGAATGATGACAGCCTGTATGAATTTTCTCTTGAGGTCAGAAGAGTTTTGGTCACTTCAGATGACAGATTTACATGTTTATCTGTTTGTCTAAATGAGTTTGACGTCATGAACTTTCACTGTTTGACTGCATTTGAATCAGAATGAGAAAGTCGTGAGGTTGTTCGCTCGACTTTCCAGCGCCGTCAATTAAATCTGATCAAACCGCGCTCACGTAGTCTCGAAAAAGCTTTTGAGCCTAATAAATAACACCAGTGGAAACCATTGTAGAACGTCTTTAACGAGGTTATTAAATGACCTGTGAATGCACTCTGGCTACCTGCACGTCTGTCACCGCTCCACATGGACATGAACATCCAGAGGACTGAAACATCTGACAGTGAGTCTGATAGAAATCTGAATTTCTGTGACAGCTTGGACAGTGCAAAGGATTCTGCATAATATCATTCATATCATCGTCCTCTCTGGACAGAGTCTATGGAAAAAAAAAAACTTGTTCGCTCTGCAGCACAAAGCTCACAGATTAGACTTCTGCTAAAATGCATGAAGAGAAGCCTGGTGAATGTTGGGATCTTTGGTTAGATGAGACCAGGATGAGTTTGTTTGGCTCAGATGGAGTCCAACATGTTTGGTATGAAGCTGGTCACCACAGTGAACACACGGTCCTGACAGTGAAGCACCGTGGTGGAGTTTAATGAGTGAATGCAAAAGGTGTTGAGAGAAGACATCTACAGATGGCACCATGAACACCGGCTGACAGTCTGACTCTAGTGTTGGCAGAGGAGGAATATTTCAGCATGCGAATCAGCTAAAGCACACTGCCAAAATTAAAAAAGCAAAAAACCGTGACTACGATATATTTTGGCCTAACTTGGAAGCAGTAGAACACCTGTGGGATGTTTTAAGATGACGGTAGAGCAACACAGAGCCTCCAGCAAAGAGCAGAAGAAAGCAATAGTCTGTGAAGAATGGCAGAACACATTGGATCG